AGGCAGAGAGGATAGATAGGAGGAGAAAAAGAGGGATAAAGAAGCAAGAGAGATCATGGATCAAGAAAAGAAGGGGCCAGCCCCCCCAGCCCCCCAGCCAGCCTCGGAGTAAGAGTGAAAGTAAGATGACAGAAGTAAGCAAAGGAAAGATCTTGTATAATATTAGAGGGTCCAGCCTTAATATTATACACCCCAGGGGCTCAGGAGAGGGAACTGCTAATGGCGAGGACTGTTTTCGGGAAATCTCAGCACACTGAGCTCTATAGTCCACTTGCTCTAATTCCTCTGGCATAACATTCTTTATACACAGCTTCAGTTCTGTTCTCATGTCTAGCTCCTTTCTTGCCTCATTTCTCTCTATTTATCTACTGTTCCCTCTAAGTTCTATCTTAATTCTCTTGTCTTAATTCTGCCTCATCTAGGTCCTTTTCATCTCATTCTTACCCAGCTAGGACTTCCCCATCTGGCTCTTCCTCATCTTCCATCTCATTCCTCTAGTCCTCTCTTCTAGCCCTTCAATCTAGTTCTTCCCCACCTCAGTTTGTTCCTCTCAATTTCTTTTGAAAAACCAAAAAAAAGACAGGGTTTCTCTGTGTAGCCCAGGCTGGCCTCGAACTCACAGAGATCTGCCTCCCGAGTGCCACCACCACCCGGCCCTCTCAATTTCTTACCCATCTAGTTCTTCCATTCTCTTTTCTGTCCCTTGTGCCCTGGAAGTCCTGGTATATATACACTTACAAGCAGTAATACCTTGGCAGTGCAAAGCCAGGCTTCCAGGGTCAAACGGAGGGGTGGTATGAATCGTATAGAGGAGCAATAACCGTTAATTATCATTTGCAACTCCAAAGGGAAGTGACCAATGGGGAAATGAATTAACTAAAGGCTAAATTTGGGTAATATCTAAGAAGAGGGAATCTTATATGCTCAACTATAGTCTTAAATGCGATTGCTAGAAAATGTTAAGAATCTATAAGTTGCTAGCTAGGTCAATGGGAGAAAATAAAACTGTCTTCTTTTTTCCTGTGGCTCCTATCTGTCCAAGCTATCTGCTGTTTTTCTGCAGGGTGGGGAAAGGTGTGCTCAGTCACTAGGCAACCTGTGTACAGCTAGATGCCTCTGGTGATAGTTAAAGGGAGATCTGGAACTAGAGGTAAGATTTGGGAAAGGAGGAAGTTAAGCTTAACTGGCACATCCGCCAGGCCTTCTCAAACAGGTAGCCTGGATGCTTAAGTCTGTTCTTAGAGAGTACAGAGGTATCTCTGATAATGTACTTTTCTCCATCTGGGGATGGACCTGGCCAGATGCTGCCAATGATGATAATTACAAGGAGGCTTGAACTGGGGTTCTGGCTGTGCATAGCTGTCAGTGCACAAGGTTATCTAAATATACCTAGAAGTGGTTAGGTAAAGAGAGGTCTATAAAGTTAGTAAGGCTGTAAGAAAGGAGGGTCTGAGCTAAATTGTGTAAAGCTATTACTTAATGTCCACCTGACCTAGGTAGTGTCTCCTTGTGGAATTTACCTTAAATCAGGAGACTTGCATGTGGACTGTTATTTCTGCTAGTTCTTGAAAGTGGCTAAGGGAAATATCTGATTCTAGAGGAGGCTTTTCCTGAGGCTTTTCTCCAAATACCTTAAATGTGTACGTCCAGAGAGTGATCAGTCCACACTGTTAGGCCTTCTTAGGGAAAAATCAATTGGGAAAACTATGAAGGCATACATGGTTTTCATAACAGTATACAGCTGATATATAACAAGCCAAATAACACCAAAAGCTCCCTGAAATTTGGCTTCCTCTGGAGGAATTCCTTGATCCCTCCAGGTAGTGACTTTGTCATAGCCAGCTGAGTTCTTATGATATATTCCTGTGGCCCACAGCAGAAAAAGCCTAGAGGCAAAAGGTAGATGGAAAGGAAAAGATCTTCACTAACCCCACATCTGACAGAGGACTGATCTCCAAAGTATATAAAGAACTCAAGAAACTAGACATCAAAATACTGAACAATCCAATTAAAAAATGGGCTACAGAGCTAAACAGAGAATTCTCAAAAGAAGAATCTCAAATGGCTGAAAGGCATTTAAAGAAATGCTCAACATCATTAGTCATCAGAGAAATGCAAATCAAAACAACTCTGAGATACCACCTTACACCTGTCAGAATGGCTGTGATCAAAAACACTAATGACAGTCTATGTTGGAGAGGATGCGGAGAAAGGGAAACTCCTCCACTGTTGGTGGGAGTGCAAACTTGTATAACCACAGTGGAAATCAATATGGAGATTTCACAGAAAATTTGGAATTGATCTACCTCAAGACCCAGCCATATCACTCTTGGGCATATACCCAAGGAATGCTCAATCATACCACAAAGATACATGCTCAACTATGTTCATAGCAACATTATTTGTAATAGCCAGAACCTGGAAACAACCTAGATGCCCGTCAACTGAAGAATGGATTACAAAAATGTGGTTCATATACACAACGGAGTACTACTCAGCAGAGAAAAACAATAACATCATTAAATTTGCAGGCAAATGGATGGAACTAGAAAATATCATCCTGAGTGAGGTAACCCAGACTCAGAAGGACAAACATGGTATGTACTCACTCACAAGTGGATACTAGATATAAAGCAAAGGACAATCAGACTGCAACCCACAGATCCAGGGAGGCTACCTAGCAGGGGGGACCCTAGGATTACTGTGGCTTATAATAAATTTTGGTTTTACTCAATCACTGGGCAAGCTTTAGTGAAACATTTCACTATTAGGATAGGAATTTGTACTGTATCAAGCTGATGAAAGAAAATGCTGGCCATACTTTCAGAGGGGAGGCTAAAATCTCTTTAGATTATGTATTAGCCTATAGAAAAATGTCTGCCATAAATCAAACAGTGAAGGGGAAGATGAGTAGGAATCTCACTTACACAACTTAAGTAAAACATAGCTCTCTGGACAGATGAAGATAGGTCTCTTCTGTATCCCAGAATCTAATCAATATGTATATGTATAATTCAGCTATTATTTGGCTTAAAAGGGCTTATTGGGAAATGTTATCATTTTTACTGTTTTATACAGAGAAAATATTTTACTGTTTAAAATAAACCTTGGACTTTTGAATTATAACCTGTTTTTATGTTCAAAAGAAGAAGGAGGAGGAGGAGGAGGAAAGAAAATTCAGTACAGACTGTGACGCTCCACGGCTTCTGTTCAAAATGTCTGCTCCAGTTGTATAGAAGTTCATTGAGTTGTATAGTCTTTGTGTCTGGTTAATTTTGGTGTGTGATTGTTTTTAACTATTTTTATAATAAAGTTTCAGGAATTAAAAAGGTAGATGGGATAATTTAAGTTAAGGAAAGCTGACTAGAAATAAGCCAAGATAAGGGAGGGCATTTATAAGAAAGAATAAAAAATAAGCTTCTGTGTGATTTATTTGGGAGCAGGGTGGCAGCCCCCACCAAAGCCGTAAGTAAAAAACAACCAACTACATCTATATAGTCACAGCAGCATCATTTGTGATACCTAACACTTGAAAGCGAACCAATGTCCATTGCCACATAAATGAAAGGCTGGAAATACACATAATGGACTGTTATACACCCTTAAAAGGAAATGGTGTTCTGGCACCTGACAGCATATATGAACCATCTGGGAAAGATGCTGAGAGAAATAAGCCTGATTCAGAAGGCTAAGCGTGGCATGGTTCTTATACAAGGCACTTAGTCAAAATCATACAGACAGAAAGTAGACTGAGAGGAATGGAGATTTTTTTTGTTTATTAGGTATATATCGGATGTGCCAAACACAAAGAGTTCTAGAGGTCCTTGCTGGTACTGACTGCACAACACTATGAATGTATTCGCCATGACTAAGCTCTTCACTTAAGATGGATATGACAGTAAATCTCATTTTATGTGTGCTTTACTACAAGAAAAACAGAAAAATCATTTGATACCTAGCCCCTATGCCAACCAAATAAACCCCATCTGGGGTCTTTCACAGTAAAGCTTCTCAAAATGGCCACCTGTAACTGAAAAGTTTCTCTCTGGTCCTGCCAAGCCTCGGCAGTCCTGCGGCCCACTTATAAAATAATCACTCAGAAGCTTATAGTACTTATAAACTGTATGGCTGTGGTAGCCTTCTTGCTATCTAGTTCTTTCATCTTAAAAACCCATTTCTATAAATCTAGCCACATGGCTCCTGGCTTACTGGTGTCTTACATCTTGCTACTGATGGCGGGTCTCTACTCAGCCTTCCACCCCCCAGAATTCTCCTCTCTCCTTATCCCGCCTACACTATACTTCCTGCCTGGCTACTGACCAATCAGCATTTTATTTATCAATCAGAGCAACACATTCACAGGCTCCCCAGCAGCTACCATTCTCCCACTTCCCTCTGACTTCATTCCGATTTCTCATCCATCTCTACCATCACACTAAGGTACGCTTTTGTCATAGTCTTCCAAGGTGACAAACCTAAGGTCCTATCTGCCATCGCCTTGCTTGCTTCTCAGCAGCATCTGACACATTTCATGGTTCTCTTCCTGACACGCTTCTCTCTTTCTGTTGTCTCCCCTCCCCTCCCCACCCTCCTCCTGACTGACATGGTCCTTCACAGTTTCTTTCCATTTGAGGGAGCCTTTTCTCTTCTGGGGTTCTAAGTATGAACGAGCCTCCACTTTCTCCCCACAGCTCCTCCAGCGATCATGTCAACCTTCTGGCTATAATGAAGACGTTCCAAAGGCACTCCTGCCCCCCCCCCTTTTGCTATCAGACCAGTGAGATAATGGTCTCCAAAGAATTGGAATTTCTCTTGGAGTCTCATGCTGGGAGAAGGAAAAGGTCAGAGCCTAGATTCCAGCCAGAGAATGGGATTTCACAGAGTGCTGACATGTCAGACCACCTCATGGGAGAGACTAGAACTGAAATATTGATGGGTGCCACTTCACCACACTTGGAAGAGGAATGCCCACTTATGCATGCCTTTTGTTGTCTCCTTACCTGCTTAGCTGCTGGCCTCCCTAGCCTGAGGAGTCCCCGCCATGTTTTCAGGAAACTTGATTTAGGCCAAGCCAGGATCGGAGGCATCAATGCTGAGGAGAATTTCAGTTATTTAGAATACAGAGAATTAGTTATTTGGAATATAGAGAATTTCAGCTGATACAGCAAAGCAGACTTAGAAACTATATAAAAGATATTTTACTTTAGGCTTGGGCATAAGGGTTCAGAGAAAGAGATGCGATCAGAGGTAAGGTAAGGCGCACACAAGTGGGGACAGGCAGTACCCAAGGGAGACTAGGGGTGTGGCAGGGAGAGGAAGCCACTCATTTTCTGAGGCTGCATCCAAAAGTCACTAAGAACTCCCCCCTCCCCATTCTGGATGCTTTGAACGGAATTATGATCTTACAGGGTAACCCTGGAAGTCAGTAGGGTTATACAAGGGGTAAGTACACGTCCTTTCCTTAGAAATGGGCTTTCTGGTGAGGTCACTAGAAATTGCAGGCTTATGGCTCTTTTGGGTAATAATTGTGCTGGGGTTCTTGCTTTGCACTGGCAAGGGCTTTGGCCAGATTCCAGAGTGAGGGGATCCCTTCCCTGTTCAAGTCTCCAAAACTCCCCCTGGCTTTCTGTACTACTTCAGTAATGGGGGTCGGTCCTAATTAAAATTTCTTCAGGAAGTGTGGCCCTGAGGGTAAGGATGGGCCCAATCCCCGCCTCGCAGGAAGATCTCTCACAGTTTGGGGGACTTATCTCATAGCTGAATCAGTACACACACGTTTCCTGGCATTTGTTTAGGATTCTTCTGTGAATCCTGACACTGCCGCAAGGCAGAGAGAAGCTGAGAACTGTACTTCCTCGGTTCTAGACAAAACTGTAAATGAATCCCGCTCCTTTCACTGGTTCCTCGAGCTTCTCCTGGTTTTCAGGAGAGAGATCAACACACCTGAAATTCTGGTCATATCATGGCTTAAATAAACAGAATTGGCAGGACTTTTTCCACTTGTGACCCCTTTCACCAGAGTGGGGGTAGTGGTGAAATTTTGTGGGTTTTTTTGTTTTGTTTTGTTTTGAGACAAGGTCTCACTGTGTAGCTCTGGCTGGAACTTGCTATGTCGTCCAGGCTGGCCTCCAATTTACAAGGATCCAGCTGCCTCGACCTCCCAAGTGCTGGGATTGAAGATGTGTGCCACCACATCCAGCAAGAATGGCTTAAAATTTTTTTTAATATTTTTATTTTTAATTATGTTCATGTTTATGCATGTGTGTGCAGGTTCCATGGAGGGTAGAAGAGAGTCGATCCTCTGGAACTGCAGTTACAGTTGTAAGCTGTTAATGTGGGTGTTGGAAATTGAACTCTGGTCCTTTGGAAGAGCAGCAAACAGTCTTAACTGCAGAGCTACCTCTCCAGTTCCACACTTGAATATTTTTTTTATGTATCCCTGGGTATATAGGCATATAAAATAGGTATATAGGGTTGGGCATGTAGCTCAGGTGGAAGAGTGCTTGCCTAGCATGTGCAATGCCTTGAGTTTGTGTCCAAGTATCACATAAACTGGCCTAGCAGCAGATAACATAATCCAAGCAATCTGGAGGTACAGGCAGGAGAATCAGAAGTTCCTCCTCAATTATATAGTGAAGCCAAGGGCAGCCTTGAGCTGAAGTGTTTCAGGCAGCATTGCTTGACTACGCATGATGTGACAGCATGCACAGTTACAAAGTGCACACTGTGTGTTCATAACTAAGCCTGCACTAAGATCACACAATGCCAAACAAGTAAGAACTCCTAGAGACACATCAGAGTCAGATTCCTCATTTGATTTTAAATTCGATTTTGGTCAATGTGCTTTCAGAATCTTTCTTTTTGCCAAATGTTTCATGATATCTGTAGTAGGACAGGCCCCTAGGGTCGAGGAAATTGGCTCAGACCAGTTGCCAAGGCATGAACATAATGTACTCCTTAAGAGCCAACCTGGAGTCTTCCTGAGGGCCTAGCAACAGGAGCTGTCAGTGTTCCCAGTCACTGCCAGAGTTCCTAGTTGCTGTCAGAGTTCCTGATCATGCCCAGTCAATGAAGGATGACCACACAGACTGGGTGTGGGGAGGAGGGTATGTATATAAGGCCTTCCCTGTTATTGAGTAAAGGAGGTTGTTATTTGCCTTCAACAGATTCCTGGTGTCTGTGTCATTGACACTACACCTTCTTGCCCCCCTCCCCTGAGGGAGCCATTAGGATCCAAGCTACAGATATCCACCTCCAGTTATGCAACCCCAAACAGGTTCACAACCCACAGTGTAAGATGCTGTGGCCTAGAACACAGACTGATGCTCAATAGACATTTGTTGAATGAAAAACACAGTGCCTGGAATCCTAGCACTCTGAAGAGGCAGAAACAAAAGACTCAAAGTTCATCGTCACCTGTAGCTACACAGTGATTTCAAAGCCAGCCTGGGATCCATGAGATGGATCTTAAAATGTATGTTTTCTTTTATTGAATGAATATAAAAATAATGATAATTAGGCATAAATTATAGTCATAAGATATATTTTAAAACAAGAATACATACAAAGTTTAGGAAAGAGAGGATTTCCAGATATTTTTGAAATAGGGACAGCTTTAGTTTTTCTCTTGAGACAAAAAAGAAACAATCACAAGAATTAAAAAAAAAAAAAAAAGAATACTGGAGCACACTCACCTTAATTTTCCTGTGGATGTGGCTGTCTAAGCAAAATATATAACAACTATGTCAAACACTATCACTTTCCACATGTTTAAGACCAAGACCACAGGGGTTGGGGAGAAAGAGGAGAGGCAAGGGGAAAGTCGGGGGAGGGGACAGGAAGGAGAGTCAGAAAGAAGGGATTTAGACCTGTTGGTCTTTGGCTGAGATGAGAGAGAATTTAGACGCAAATATGTGTGGAATTCTATGCTTTGAAAATGAAGCCATTGTTATCAACACATTTCACCGTGGAGTCTAGAAATATGAAATGTTTCCAGACATTGTGCTTTCAGGGCCCAGTGTTTTTTTTTTTTTTTTTCTGAGTTCAGGCATATTTTGCCATCCCATGGCCAACTGATCGTATTGAATGCCATTTACCTCACATATTATAATACAATATACCTGAAGGCTAGAAAAAGAAAAAAAACCCACCATTTTAATCTAACAGTTATTGAGGAATAACTTGAAATACATTTTACACTTGAAAAATGAGCAATGATATAGCTTGTCTAGATGTTGATATAAAGAATCTAGTTTTAAATACATTGAATCATCCCAGGAAACCAAGTGATGGTTTTTAACTGAGAGAGAAACAGATTAGTTACTCAAATGATTTAGCTCAAAAAAGCTGAAAGAAAATATACTTAGAGATGTGTGTTTAATTTCAAACTGGCAATTGATTTCTTTTCTGATTCTCATTTTTACAGATGGAAACATGCATGTCTTTGTAGGATAGATGTGTGTCTCGTTGGTAGCCTGGGTTCACAACTGTGCCCTAATTTCCTGCTTCTTTTTCCACTCCATCACTCAGTAAGATCTAGGCAAGGACAATGTAGAATTCATCACTTAATCTTTTACACTATCAATATTGTCAACGTTTCTGACATTTACTGAAGATCTACTTTGTGCCAAGCACTATACAGGGGTTTTGGGGGGAGTTATCTCTTAATTCTCATACAGTTCTCTAAAGTAATTACTGAATGCCATTTTATTTTTTTAACTTTATTTACTTTTTGTCTTTCACATCGTGCATCTCTATCCCTTTGTATCCACCCTCTGCTACCCCCCCAAAAGCCTCCCCCCACCCAAATATAATAAAATTCAAAAGAAAAAAATCTCATCATGGAAGCTGTAGTATGACACAGCGAGTCTTGAAGTAAACCCTTTTATCCATATACCTTTACTTGCAAGTGTTTATTGCAAAGAGTCACTGGTCTGGTTTGAGGCCTCTGGTCTCTGCCACACCATCCTTGCTGGGCCCTCACTGGGACTCCTTTTGGATATCCTGTTGTTGTGTTGTGGAGATCCTTGTGTCGTGGAGATCCTGCAGCTTTGGGTCTGCAGGACCAGCCCCTTCACCTGTTCCAGCATAGATGACAGATTGGGTGGATTTGGGGGTGGGCCAAGTTATAACCCTGTTTCTGGGCCTGGGTAGTTGCAGGCTTTGTTAGCCTGCCAGCTCTCTCCCATCCTTTGCACCAGGGTGAGCTCTCCAGCATTGCCCTTGCTAGTTCACCCTTTGCAGTCATAAGCAAGGGGGACAGGGCCAGTTCTCAGGCTGTCACATCCTCTGGGTAGGTTCTCCCACACTTACACCTACAGTGCTGCCCAGGCAAGGTGTAGGGGACACTCTCCTGAGCAATGCAGTTGGTGGGCGGCAGGGACAGCTCCCCTGCTCTTATGACCTCAGGGCCAGCTCTCCCACTGCCACAGGCAGCGAGGGGTCAGCATGGGGTGGTGGTGGTGGTGTGGTGGGGATTGAGGTGGTGGTGGTGGTGGTGGTGATGATGGTGGTGGTGGTGAATGCCATTTTATAAATGAAGTAATTTGCCAAAGGGAGGACAGCGCTTGAATCCATTTGTCTCACGCACACTCTGGAACTTGTGGTAGCAGGATCTTTCCAACACTTTCTCTTCTAATTACTGAGCAGCAGCATTGGCATGGGCACAATTTGCTTTTCTTTTTCCATAATGGGAGGTATGCCATTGGCCCATTAAGTAAAATGAAAAGAATTCTCCTTCCCAATTTTCAACCACTAAATATGACCATCCTTCATTTTTCTTATTTTATGGAAGCATTTACAATTTATAGTGTTACTAGATGGCAATGTTTTCCACTAGAAAGAATCTCACTAGAGCATGACTACTCTTTGCCAAATTCAGTAATTGAGAAATTGCTTTTCAAAACAGGAAAGTGAAGGCTTTTGACTGATATAGAAGCAGAGGAAATCTGTTATTCAAATGATTTTACAAAGCCTTTTTTTGTTTGTTTGTTTCTGGAGAAGGAGTCTCACTATGTAGCCTTGGCTGTCCTGGAACTATTATGTAGACTAGGCTGGCCTTGAACTCACAGAGATCAAACTGCTGAGATTAAA